AATGACCTCCACCTCCCAGATTCAAACAATTCCCGTGCCTCAGCCTCCCAAGAATCTGGGATGACTGTCATGCTCCACTGCACCCAGCTAATTTTTTTGTGAGGGACAGCGTCTCACTCTTTTGTCCAGCTGGGGGTGCAGTGGCATGACCTTGGCTCACTGCAGCTTCCACCTCCTGAGTTCAAGTGATCCTCCTGCCTCAGCCTCCTGATTAGCTGTGACCACAGGCATGCACCACCGTGCCTGGCTAATTTTTTTATTTTTAGTACCCGACTGGGTTCACCATGTTGGCCAGGCTGGTCTCAAACTCCTAGCCTGAAGCAACCCGCCTGCCTCAGCCTCCCAAAGTGCTGAGATTATAGGCATGAGCCATAGCGCCCAGCCAGATTTCCTATTTTTAACAGTGGAAAAAAAACAAAACAAAACAAAAAAAAGTATTACATGACACATGCAAATTCTGTAAAATTCAAATTTTGGTTTCTCTAAATACATTTTTACAGGAACAGTCACACCCTTTGATTTCTGTATTATCTAAGGCTGCTTTTCCACTATGCTGGAAGAGACAGGTTTTGTGACAAAGGCCGTATGGCCCGGAATGCTCAAAGTGTTTCCGGAAAAAGTTTCTTTACTCCTACCTTCTTCCAGTGTCTCTTGAACTTTAATGTCCACACACACCACCTAGAGAACTAGTTACAATTCAGGTTCTGTTCCAGTGGATCCGGGCTGAGGCCTAAAATTCTGCACTGTTAACAAGCACCAGGTGATGCCATGGCTGCTGGTCCATGGACCACACTTCGAGTAGTGAGGATCGACTCCAGTGTGTCTCTACATGTCGACCTGAAACAGCAGCAGCAGTACCTGTGTTAGGAATGCAGATACTCAGGCCCCACCCAGACCTACTAAACTGAAAATCTGGGTGGGGCCCAGCAAGCTGTGTTTTGCAGTCACAAGCTATCGGCCAACGCAGTGGCTCATGCCTGTAATCCCAGCACTGGGAGGCTGAGGTGAGCAGATCACCTGAGGTCAGGAGTTTGAGACCAGCCTGGCCAATATGGTGAAACACCATCTTTACTAAAAAATATTTTTTAAATTAGCCAGGCGTGGTGGTGCACGCCTGTAATCCCAGCTACTCAAAGGCTGAGGTGGAAGAATCGCTTGAACCTGGGAGGCTGAGGATGCAGTGAGTCAAGATCACGCCACGGCACTCCAGCCTGGGAGACAGAGTGAGACTCCATCTTAATCAATCAGTCAAATATAATAAGCTATCCAGGTGATTCTGATGCAGGCTTAAATTTGAACACCATCTCTCCTGCAGGTCCAGACTCTGAGAGATTTTACGTAAGAGTCAGAAAATTCAGTGTGAGTATGAACACGCTTTCACAAATGCTGAAAAGGCTAGAACTTCCTTAAACGTTCCACCTGCAACTCAGCTAACGTGAAGCAGGTGTTAGTTTAACAGATAAGTTTCATATTTATAAAAATGTTTAATGCTGCTTCACAGAAACTTACCAGAAAAATTTGGCCACCTGACCAAGAAGGAATAGTTGTAATGAGAACAACATTACAAGAAGAATGACACAGTTAATACTAAAACGACGGGAAGAAAAAACGCGGCATGATCTGAAGTCGTTGTTCACCATAAACTGTATTTAACTGTGCTTAAAAGGAAATTTCCATAGTCCCTTTCTATATGGTCTGCTGATGTGGGGCCAGCTTTGCAAAACAGTTGCACTGTCTTTTTTTCCTTTTTTTGAAACGGAGTTTTGCTCTTGTTGCCCAGGCTGGAGTGCAATGGCATGATCTCGGCTCACTGCAACCTCTGCCTCCTGGGTTCTAGCGATTCTCTTGCCTCCGCCTCCACAGTAGCTGGATTACAGACACAAGCCACCACACCTGGCTAATTTTGTGTTTTTAGAAGAGACGGGGTTTCATCATGTTGGTCAGGCTGGTCTCGAACTCCTGACCTCAGGTGATCTGCCCTTGCCTCTGCCTCCCAAAGTGCTGGGATTGCAGGTGTGAACCACTGTGCCTCGCCTGCACTGTTGTCTTTAAACTTTTCAAAGCCAGCTAGACAGGGATAGACCAGTCACCCTACCCCAGGACAGGCACCAGAACATGGATCGTAATAGTAAAAAACAGGGAACAACCTGTTTTGCAAGAAATGGAGAAAGGTAATGGGCCATTTCCACATGCCCAACAAGCATGCATCATGATCACAAATGAAGCAAGCCAGGCATGGCAGCGGCGCACCTGCAGTCCCAGCTGCTTGGGAAGCTAGAGTAGGAGGAAGATTGCTTGAGCCCAGGAGTTTGAGGCTGTAGTGAGCTATGATCACACTGCTGTACTCCAGCCTGGGGGACAGAGCGTGACTCCATTTTGAAACAAAATCCAAAAAAAAGCAGATCAGAATGAACCTGGATGATACACTATTAACTACACAAAGAGAACTCTGTGTCGGTATGATCCCATTTAAATCTGTCAGAATATTTTTAAATCCCTGTATGCTTGTACATTTTCTTGTAAAAGCGTACACAGAACTGTCACTTTGGAGGAGAGGAGCTGATGGAAGAGAAGACAGTATACTTTCATTTTATATCTTTCTGTATGATTTTTTTTTTCTTTACAGTGGATGACAAGTATTTGTTCAGCACCTGCTGTACATTGTTTTATGTACTGAGGACACAGCAGTCCACTTGGAGCTGACATTCTAGTGGGGATAGAAAGAAAGTAAAATAAGTACATTTTTAAAACTTTTTTTTTTTTTTTTTTTTGAGACAGGGTCTTGCTCTGTTACCCAGGCTAGAGCTCAATTTTGGCTCACTGCAACTTCTGCCTCCCAAAGTTCAAAGGATTCTTATGTCTCAGCCTCCTGAGTAGCTGGGATTATAGGTATGCACCACCCGGCCCAGCAATTTTTTTTTTTTTTTGCCAGGTTGGGCAGAGCGGTCCCAAGCTCCTGGCCTCCAGTGATCCACCTACCTCAGACTTCCACAGTGCTTTGATTACAGGCATGAAACACAACACCCAGCCCCAAATAAGTAAATTTTAGAATATGTTTAGACCATGCCATAACTGTGGTCTAAACACACTTGACATGTGGTCCACGGGACACTGACAGTCCACACTTTGTGACCAGTTCGTGACAAAATAAGGAGGCAGCACCATAATGAAGATCAACTATGGCACCAAGCGTGCCATTCAGATCAGCTCACATTTTTTTTCTTTTTTCTTTTTGAGACGGAGTTTCGCTCTTGTTACCCAGGCTGGAGTACAATGGCGCGATCTCGGCTCACTGCAACCTCCGCCTCCTGGGTTCAGGCAATTCTCCTGCCTCAGCCTCCTGAGTAGCTGGGATTACAGGCACGCGCCACCATGCCCAGCTACTTTTTTGTATTTTTAGTAGAGACGGGGTTTCACTGTGTTGACCAGGATGGTCTCGATCTCCTGACCTCGTGATCCACCCGCCTCAGCCTCCGAAAGTGCTGGGATTACAGGCTTGAGCCACCACGCCCGGCTACATTTTTTTTCTTATAAAGCTTTCTTAATACAGGAAGCAGAAAGCATGGGTTTCCATCCTGGTACTGGTTTCCATCCTGGCACAAATGCTTAGCCTGCCACGTTGGCCAGGCTGGACTCGAACTCTTGGCCTCAAGTGATTTGCCTGCTGTGGGCCTTGAAAGTGTTGGTATTACAGGCGTGAGCCACCGTGCCTGACTGCCACCTGCTCATTTATATAAGCCCCCTGCAATTCACTTGCAACCAAGACTGAGAATCCCTGGTGCAGAGTGCCTCCTCGAGTCCAGGAATGATCTGCAGCCCCCACTTCCCTTCCAGGCGTGTCTTTGTCTCCCTGTGGCTGTTTCTGGGAGACCCTGCATTTTTGAGTTCTTTTATTCGTGTCACCTGAGCATGTTCCCGTGGTTACCCTGACTGTGTTGCCGGCTGCATATTTATCCCTTTTGTATCTTCCGTCCTGGGTACTCTTCCACCTCTTCTGGGGTCAGCCCTTTCTTGCCTTACATTGTGCTGCTTTCTCTCCTGGCACCAAAGAATGAGGCAGCCAGTGCAGAGTGGGGGCTGTAGTCATCATCATCACTGAGGTATTGTGAGCCAGGAAAGATGATCTGTTTCAACACAGCACAGTGCCCGAGTGCCCTTGATAATTGTTGGCTGTCATTGACATTGTTGACGTTCTGATGGTGATTATTGATGCTGGGGGACTCTCCTGGATCGGGGTGGATATCCAGCAGTCCTGTCCTCTGTGTCCTTATCAGGGTCCTTTCCTAAGTCTGACAGCTAAGGCATCTGCCAGGGCTGGGGTCTCATCTGAGACTCAACAGGGAAGGGCCCACTTTGAAGCTTACCTGATTGTTGGCAGAACTCGGTTCCCCAGTTGTTCAAAATGTTGAAAATATTTCCTATTACCATTGGTAACAGCCAGTGCCCAGGTACCTTTAACAATGAACTCTCGGAGGTCTCTGTGGATCTGGCACTAAAGGGTTAATTTCTGGCACTACAGGGGTCCCTGGGCCTCTGCCTCTTGGCTGATGCCCTTGTCAAACTGGTTATCTATTTTGAATATCACCTCTTGCAGTGCTTGGGAACCAGGGGACTGTGCCCCTTTCCTCCTGCCATTCCTTGCATCTTGGTCCTGGAAGTGAGCTCATCACAGCAGAGATACTGTTACCTGGGCGGGGGTTTTACTCATCCCTGCTGGTACAGGATGCTGACTCAGGCCCCAGTGCCCTCAGTGGATGGAGCTCTCTGCCACAGCTGCAAAGCACCGTTCCTGCCCCCAAGGGACTGAACTCCAGATACCACCTGCCCCTCAACCAGAACAGCCTGTTCATGGCCTCTGCAGAGCAGGTCTCCTTTCTTGAGCATCCTGGCTGTGCAGTGCTCTGCCATCTCTTCCTGAAGTGGCCAGTTTTTCTTGCCTTGGTTTTAGCATATGGCTCAATAACTCCCCTCCCTCCTTGTCTCTTTTCTGCCAGGGTCTTGGGCATCATCGGTCCAGGGAAGGAAGCAAAGCAGATGGAGGATGGCGTGCTGGTGACGGACAGTGCAGGGGAGCAACTACAGAGGTAAATGTGGAGAGGTGGCGTGACTGACGCAGGCCTCATGAGTTCACCATCTGCTCATGCTTCTGACACTCGAGTTCCCTATGTGGTGTGGGTCTTTGCTCAGGTCACTTGTGGGGGACCTGGAAGGTTCAAGCTTTGTGAAGCAGCATTCCATATAAAACTATCTCAAGGCCAGGTATGGTGGCTCATGCTTGTAATCTCAGCACTTTGGGAGGTTGTGGCAGGAGGATCTCTTGTCGGCAGGGAATTTGAGACCATCGTGGGCAACATGCGCAAGACCTGTCTTACAAAAATAGGAAGTATCCTTGTGTTTGATTAGAGAGGGCTTCCTTAGATCCCTGGGGATCATAGCATATGCAAGTATATTCACCGTGCTAGCTTTAAAAAACTGGCTGAGTCAGCTCGGGCATGGTTGCTCACTACCTGTAATTCCAGCACTTTCGTGAAGGCTTGAGATCGTGTAGATCACCTGAGGACAGGAGTTCAAGCAAGACCAGTCACTGGCCAGCATGCGGAAACCCTGTCTCTACCAAAGATAGACAAAAATTAACACAGGCATGGTGGCAGGCGCCTGTAAACTTCTAGCTACTCGGAAGGCTGTGGCAATGAGAATCATGTGAACCCAGGAGGCAGAGGTTGCAGTGAGTCCGAGATTGAGAGCAGGCACTCCAGCCTGGACAACAGAGTGAGGCCTCATCTCTAAAAAACAAAAGAAAAAACAGCAAAAGAACAACAACAAACAAATGTCTGAATTTGGGCTTTGACAAATTCAGAGCCCAAACATATTGGATCTTGGGGATTTGAGAAAGGATTATGGACCGCAGTTGCTCTAGGGGTCAGAAGAGGGCAAAGTGATGTGGCCTAGCACTGTGCCTTGGTACATGTCACTTTTGCCATTGTTATCATCTTACACAGCCTGCATTCTAGTGGGAGATTCCAGACAGTGCACGAGCGCAGAAGGATGGAAGATTTTCATCCGAGGTGCTAGCGTGGGTTTGTGAGCCCTAGGTCATGAAGCAGGGAGCCCCAGCTCCCCACCTGAATTCTAGATTTCATTCAGAGTTGGTTCTGATTCTTCCCCGTGCCGCTTCCTGAAAACCCACACTTGCTTTCGGATTTGAGGGCCACTTCCACCTCACTTGGCCTAACCAAACACCTTTGCCCAGATCTCATGGGCAAGGAAAGGTTACCCACCCCCAGGCCCTAGATCAAGGAGGGGAGGTGCTGGAGGTTTATTTGGCCTTTAGGAAGTGTTTTCAGGGGACACAGTTTTGGGGGTGCAATGGATCACATGGGGCTCTTGACCTCAGGTAGCTTGTAATCTTGTTCAGGAGATAAGTCGGTAGAGGAAGGCATAAGAACAGTTCCACAGCAAAAGAGCCACATCTGTTGTTTGCATGGCCTCCGTAATTCCCTCCCCTCCCTCCTTCCTTCCCTCCCTCCTCCTTCCCTCCCTCCCTCCCTCCCTCCCTCCCTCCCTTCCTTCCTTCCTTCCTTCCGTTTTTAGAGATGGAGCCTCCCTCTCTTGTGCAGGCTGAGTTCAGGGTGCAGTGGCACCAACTCAGCCACTGAACACAAAACGTGTGGGCAATGCAGTCTGTGATGTTCTCCGGGTCTGCATAAAGATAATGACCACTGATGTACAGAAAGTCCTTTTTATTTTCTTTGAAGGCAGGGTCTCACTCTGTCACTGAGGCTGGTAGTGCCGTGACACAATCATGGCTCACTGCAGCTTCTGCCTCCTGGATTCCAAACATTTCTGCCTCAGCCTCCCTAGTAGTTGGGACTGACAGGTGCCTGCCACCATGCCTGCCATAATTTTTTTATTTTTAGTAGAGACAGGGCTTCACCATGTTGGCCAGGCTGGTCTTGAACTCCTGGGCTCATCTTCCCTCCTCGGCCTCCCAAAATGCTGGATACAGGCGTGAGCCATTGCACCTGACCCGTTTTTCATTTCTCAGTTAGTCGTTATGATTATGTCCCTGAGAAAGTCTCAGTTGGGTCCTAACCTGTTTTTGGTACCTCACAGCTGCTGTCCTCTCTTTGTAACAAGCAAAGTAGGTTCCAAGCTCCTGTTTTATTTATTTATTTTTTTAAAAAGATCATCTGTTTTGGGCAAGTGTTAATAATTCTCCATTTATGGTAGTGATCCAAAGTTTATTTTAAAAAATAAATGTGATTATGTTTTTAAAAAAACAGGGAATGGAATTTTTAAAATGTAGGATAAAAACATGCATAGATAAACAAAAAACCCCATGAAAAGTGGTAGCAGGGGAGTGAGGCTGGGACGCTTTCTCATATCCACCCCGATGTGTCCAGAGCTTCCCAGGACTGTCTGTTCCTGGTTTCTTCCTTAACTTGTCATCACAGTCAGGACTGGAGGCCAGGGGCAGAGGTGCTGTGGTGTCCTCTCTCGCCTTACCCTTACTGACCCTCCAGGAAGACCAGAGAAAATTACCCCAAATCATAGGACATGGGAAGGAAGGGGCAGAGATGCCAGGCCCATTTAATCCTCATTTAACTTCAATTTTACCTTCAAGGAGCAGCAAAGCCAGAGGGCTTATAACTTATCAAAGTTGGCCCAAGAGTGGAGCCGGACACAACATGCTCATTTCTTTTTCTCTTTTTTTTTCCTGAGACAGGATCTGACTCTGTCATTCAGGATGGAGTATAGTGGCACAGTCACGGCTCACGGCAGCCTCACACCTCCCAATTCAAGTGATTCTCCCCACCTTAGCCTTCCAGTAGCTGGAAGTACAGGTATGCTCGACTAATCTTTTTTTATTTTTTGTAGAGATGGGATTTCACTTTTTTGCCCAGGCTGTTCTTGAACTCCTGGGCTCAAGTAATCTGCCTGCCTTGGCCTCCCAAAGTACTGGGATTACAGGTGTGAGCCACCATGCCGGGCCACACACTTGTCACTTCTGAACCCCAAGCCCACCACACTCCACTGCTCATGAGAAAGGGGTTTCCAAACCCTGCAGACTAATTTTAGGGACAGCAGGCAGCTTGGCTGCATGATGAAGCCAACTGGTGAAATAAACACATTCTTAATTATGACCTGTCTTCTCTCCCACCTATTTCATTTCCCAGAATGGAGACTTGAAAACTCAAAAGGAAACAATCAGTTACGCATCAGACCTGTTACTTTTCAGCTAGACTGTAGGGTCAGATGATTTTTGTTTGTTTGTTTGTTTTTTGGTAGGGGGCAGGGCCTGGCTGTGTTGCTCAGGCTGGAGTGCAGTGGTGTGACCATAGCTTACTGCAGCCTCCAGCTTCTGGGTTCAAGCGATCCTCCTAGCTCAGCCTCCTGAGTAGCTGGGACTGTAGGTGTGGACCACCATGCCTAGCTAATTTTAAAATCATTTGTATGAGATAGGGGTCTTACTGTGTTTTCCATGCTGGTCTCAAACTCCTGGCCTCAAGCAGTTCTCTACCTTGGCCTCCAAAGTGCTGGAATTATAGGGGTGAGCCACTGTGCCCAGTCCAGATGATTTTTAAGACTCAAAATTCAGCATGAAAAGCTTGAATGACAGTGAGCATAGACCTGGTAAAGACACCTGGAGTTTCTTTGTTTGTTTGTTTATTGCACTTTAGGTTTTGGGGTACATGTGAAGAACATGCAAGATTGTTGCATAGGTATACCACGTGGCAGTGTGATTTTGCTGCCTTCCTTCCCCTCACCCTATATCTGTCCTTTCTCCCCACATGCCATCCCCTCCCACCCCCACCCTCTGCTGTCCCTCGCCTGTTTCTCCCCAACTAGACCCCAGTGTGTAGTGCTCCCTTCCCTGTGTCCATGATGTTCACATTGTTTAAACGCCCGCCTATGAAGTGAGAACATGCGGTGTTTGATTTTCTGCTCCTATGTCAGTATGCTGAGAATGATGGCTTCCAGTTCATCCATGTCCCTACAAAGGACACAAACTCATCGTTTTTGATGGCTGGCGTAGTATTCCATGGGCACCTGGAGTTTCTTGAAAACAAGCCAGTTGAATTTAGGCAGTGGCTGGCCTAAAGCAGATTGCTGTCTTGCTGTGAGGTGAACTAGACTGATTTGCTTAACGGCCATGCCGGGTTACCAGGAAATAACCCAAGGAAAGAAACTCCAACCTTTGTCTCCTTGAGGGAGCTGGCACTGGGGAGATGGGTGAGTTGGTATTCTGTGCTCAGAGTGAAGGAGCTGGGAGGCTGGCCCAGCTGTGGTGTGGAGGTGACACTTGACTTGGTTGCCGGGCAACATGTCACACATTGCCTGAAGCTCATTGGTGGCTTCTCTTTTCTGCCAGTCTTGGCATAAAAGTTGGAATCCTGACCCGAGTCTCCCATGTCATGTGTGGTCTGGCTACAATCGGTTTTTCCAGCCTCACTCCTTGCTGTCCCATGATCTCCTAGCTCCAGCCACCTGTGCCTTCTCTCAGTTCCCCAGATGCGCTGTGTTCCCTCCTGCCTCCAGGCTTCTGCACGTGCTGGTTCTGCCAGCCTTTCTCCATTTTCAGCTGGTTTAACTTTTTTTTTTCCTGGAGGCAGAGTCTCCCACTGTCACCCAGGCTGGAGAGCAGTGGTGCAGTTTTGGCTCACTGAAACTTTTGCTTCCTGGGTTCAAGTGACTCTTGTGCCTTAGCCTCCTCCTGAATAGCTGGGATGCTCGTGGCTGGATCATCAACATGTGTTAATGGGGGAGCCAGTTGTGCTGTGCTTTGGATTCCAACTCCCAACAGGAATGGGGGAGAGGAAAGGGAGAGGCATGAAGTTGGAGGAGTGGATACAATGCCTGGTGACCAGCTAGAATGGAGAGGAATTTGACATGTTGCCGGGATTTTCCCCATCAAAGGCATTCCTTGATGGCCCAAGAGGACACTTCCAGGTACCAGGGGAATGCTGTTAAAGCTATGAATTTCCCTCTAAGCATTCCTTTAGCTGCACCTCACAGGTGGTGATACACTGTTTTTATATTGTCACTTGGTTCACAATATTTTCCAGTTTCCTTTCTGACGACTTATGTGGCCCATAGGTTATCGTGAAAATGTGATATATGCCGTGGAGTTGGCAGTGTGGCAGGCCTGGGTGATGGCTACACCTGGGTTGCTCATTTCTATACCATTCTTACCTGAATGTTTCATAATTCATCACTTTTTTGGGGGGGAGGGAGACAGTGTCAGTCCGTTATCCAGGCTGGAGTGTAGTGGCAAAATCTCAGCTCACTGCAACCTCTGCCTCCTGGGTTCAAGCGATTCTCTTGCCTCAGCCTCCCAAATAGTTGAGATTACAAGCATGCTTAGTAGAGATGGGTTCTGCCATGTTGGCCAGGCTGGTCTCAAACTCCTGACCTCAAGTGATCCGCCTGCCTCGGCCTCCCATAATTCATTCTTGTTGAAAATAATTTGTTTCCTGTTATCTTACTAAAAAAGAAAAAAAAGAAAATTGGGAAAATAAAGAATGCCTGCTCACTCTAGAAATGCCTTTTGATTCTTGCAGGTCACTTGAACTGGCTGGTTCGGAGGTCATCTGAGATGGAAACCAACATTGTGGCCATGGAGAGACTCAAGGAGTATTCAGAAACTGAGAAGGAGGTAGGCGCGGGCCCCTGGCCTGACCTCTGGGTCTTTGGTGTAGCTCTATCCTAAGGACATCTCTGAGCCCTGTCCTGTGTACCCTCTGCCTCTCAGCAGGAGAGTGAGCTGGATACCCCATCAGATAGAAGTGTGTCTTACGCTCGTCCAGTCTTTTGGCAGCACTTACTTAGAGCCTGGTTTTAGGGTGAAAATAGTTGACCAGCATTCCCCAAGATCTGGGGTATCTGAGACTGTGGGATGCTGACAGGGCATTCAGAAGGTGTTCACATTGTAAAGAAGTTTCCCCCTCTAATTCTCTTTCATACCTTTTGATGGTATCACAGAGAAAGTGAGTTTGGTGCTAGCAGGTCTTTAACACCTTCGCAATTGAGATGACCTCCCTTTGACAGACGGATAAATAGCAGCCGTCACACTTGGAGCCTTCAACAGGACAGCCTCTATCTTCTATCAAAAATAACCTTCTGTTACTTACTATGTATTTGTTGTTGTTTTTGTTGTTGTTTTTTGTTTTTAAGATGGAGTCTTGGCTGGGCGCAGTGGCTCATGCCTGTAACCCCAACACTTTGGGAGGCTGAGGTGGGTGGATCATGAGGTCAGGAGTTCAAGACAAGCTGGCTAAGATGGTGAAGCCCCTTCTGTACTAAAAATACAAAAATTGGCCTGGTGTGGTGGCAGGCGCTCTAATCCCAGCTACTCAGGAGGCTGAGGCAGTAGAATCACTTAACCCAGGAGGCAGAGGTTGCAGTGAGCCGAGATCATGCCATTGCAATCTAGCTTGGGCGACGGAGCAAGACTTTGTGTCAAAAAAAAAGAGATGGTGTGTCACTGTCGTCCAGGCTGGAGTGCAGTGGCGCGATCTCAGCTCTTTGTAACCTCCACTTCCCAGGTACGAGTAATTCTCCTGCCTCAGCCTCCCGATTAGCTGGGATTACAGGCGCCGGCTATCACGCCTGGCTAAGTTTTGTTTTTTAGTAGAGATGGGGTTCACCAGGTTGGCCAGGCTGGTCTCGAACTCCTTACCTCAGGTGATCCACCCACCTCAGCCTACCAAAGTGCTGGGATTACAGGTGTGAGCCACCGTGCCCGGCCTGTCTGTTATGTATTTGTATGGGAGACTCCTGTTATGGAAAATAATAGTACTTTTCCATTTGTGATTGTAATAAATTGTCCTCTGAAGTAAGCTGAGAAATGAGGTATAAGTAAGTTGATTAAGTGTATTTAAACAAGAGAATCAGTGCCTGCATACTACACAAATGATGCAGCCGGGAACTGAACAAGGGGGGACGCTTCTTCTTTTTATAGATGGAGGAAAAGGGAGCCTGGGGAGGGATGGTGGCATCAAGGTCCCACGTGGCATGGTAGAACATCTGGGACGCATGTCCCCAGACTTTGATGTCACATTGTCCTTAATAACTGCCTTCTTAGGCCCTGAACAGCAGCAGGAGTAGAAACAGCAGTGATAACAGTCACAGTGATGCCTGGTGACACCCCGCTTCCCCCCCTCCACACACACACAAGTAATAACAGGGACACGCACTGTGCCTTGTAGTACGTCAGGCCCAGACCTAAACACTTAACACAGAATAAATGCAGTCAGTCTTTACCTCACCCTATGATTGATTTTTGAGACACAGTCTCATTCTTGCCCAGGCTGGAGTGTAGTGTGATCTCACTCACTGCCTCCTAGGCTCAAGTGATTCTCCTACCTCTGCCTCCTGCGGGTCTGGGACCACAGGCACACGTCACCACAGCCAGCTGGCTTTTGTATTTTTAGTAGATACGGGGTTTTGCCATGTTGTCCAGGCTGGTCTCAATCTCCTGAGCTCAAGTGATCCTCCTGCCTTGTCCTCCCAAAGTGCTGGGATTACAAGCGGGAGCCATTGTGCCCCAGCCCGATAATTTCAATGCTGTTATTACCCCCATTTTACAGTTGAGAAAACTGAGACAGAAAAGTGAAGTTACTTGTCCAAGATCACATGGCTGGTAAATGGCAGACCTAGGCTTTGAGCCTGCGCTTCCTCGGAGACCCTCTCCAGTGCCATGGGAGTCATACTACACTGCCTCCTGAGGAAGTGCCCCTTGGGAGAGAGACCAAGGCCTCTGGTAAGTTCTGTCCTCCCCAGGAATTCACAGAGGTGACCTCTGCCCACTCCTTTTTCTGGGTGAACCAGGTACCATGGTACTGGTGGCCCATGCCTGTAATCCCATCACTTTGAGAGGCCAAGGCTCGTAGATCACTTGAGGCCAGGAGTTTGAGACCAGCCTGGCCAACATGGTGAACCCCATCTCTACTAAAATTACAAAAATTAGCCGGGTGTGGTGGTGTACACCTATAATCCCAGCTACTCGCGAGGCTGAGGTGGGCGGATCGGTGGAACCTGGAAGGCGGAAGCTGCAGTGAGCTGAGATTGCGTCACTGTACTCCATCCTGGGCAACAGAGCGAGACTCCGCCTCAGAAAAAAAAAAAAAAATTAACACAAGAACTTTATGGGGGAGAGTGAAAGTTGGTTCCTGTTCACCCCATTCCTCTTCTTCCCACAGAGGGGCCCCATTAGCATTTAGGTGTGTTTCCTCCAGAACTTTCGTGTTCTGTGGGATTCCCGCATACCCCCACACATTGTTTCCTTGTTTTTCTTTTAGCATAAGTGGGGTCTACATGTTATTCTGTGAGGCCTCACCTTTTCTTTAACCCTGAGGCAGCTTCACATCCATATATAATGATAGTCACTGCCTCTAAGGGCTGCTGTGAGACTCAGATGAGATCATGGGTCTCAAGTGCTGAGCTGAGCAACTTGCAGTAGTTGCATTGTAAGTGCTCAGTAATAACACTTATTTTTTGGACGGGTGCGGTGACTCATGTCTGTAATGCCAGCACTTTTGGGAGACTGAGGCAGGTGGATCACTTGAGCTCAGGAATTCAAGACCATCCTGGGCAACATGGTGAGACCTCTCTACAAAATAAAAAATATCACTGTGTGTGTGTGTTTCTTGAGACAGACTCTCTCTCTGTCACCCAGGCTGGAGTGCAGTGGCATGCTCTTGGCTCACTGCAACCTCTGCCTCACAGGTTCTAGTGATCCTCCTGCCTCAGCCTACCAAATAGCTGGGATTACAGGCTCCCGCCACCATGTCCAGCTAATTTTTGTGTTTTTAGTAGAGACAGGGTTTCACCATGTTGGTCAGGCTGGTCTTGAACCCCTGACCTCAAGTGACCTTCCCGTCTCCACCTCCCAAACTGCTGGGGTTACAGGCATGAGCCACCATGCCCCGCAACACTGTTATGTTATAGCACATCCACAAAAGGGCTGAATGTCTTGCCTAAAAGGTGCCCGATGTTTTCTTGTTACATGCCTTCCACCGTGCTGCTGAGCTTGGCCGCGTGCTCTCCAGCCTGGTTCCGCACCTGTGTGTGCCCTGGAGGGATGTGCATTCTCTGAGGCTGAAACCACTGAACCTGGCCCACGCCACATCCAGCTGGGGGCCTCAGGAGATGCTGAACTGGACTGCTTTTCAGAAGCAGAGTTGTGTTTCCCTCAGCAAGCTACCTCCCCACCCTGAGTCTCAGTCCCCTTGTGTGTAAACTGGGGATAACTGAAGGACCTTCCACATGGGACTGCTGTGAGGATGACGAGGCACCGTGATACAGTCCCTGCTTTTATCCTTGTGCCTGTCCAGAGAAGACCACTCATTTCATTGACTCCGTCCATAAATATTTATTTTTAAATTTGTTTTAAACAAGTAAGTTCTATTGGTGTCTAAAAACAAAAATTCACTCAACATTGAAACATACTTCAAAATTTATGTTCTGTTTTCTTGTTTCTTTTTTACCCACTGCAGTGTGAGGAACAAATCACAGACACTTTAGAGAAACAGAGAACATTGTGTGGCTTTGACAGAATCACATTAAAATCTCTGTATTGTGATCCTCAAATCCTTAAAACTCGGCATCAGCTACTGCTTGCTATTTTGAAATTGCTGCCTTATCCAACCTAATGATAGTTATCTAAAAAACTTTCTTCTATAGGAAGTCTCTGACAAGCTGTTACTCATTTCCTTTAGGTTAAAAAAATCTAGGGGCAACATTTATATTTTGTTAGAAAACATTTTAAAAAGTTTACCTACTATGTTCACATTAAGAACAGTATCTGTGGCCGGGCGCCATGGCTCACGCCTGTAATCCCAGCACTTTGGGAGGCTAAGGTGGGCGGATCATGAAGTCAGGAGTCCAAGACCAGCCTGGCCAACATGGTGAAACCCTGTCTGTGCTAAAAATACAAAAATTAGCTGGGTGTGGTGACAGGCACTTGTAATCCCAGCTACTCGGGAGGCTGAGGCAGGAGAATCACCTGAACCCAGGAAGTGGAGGTTGCAGTGAGCTGAGATCACACCACTGCACTCCAGCCTGGGTAACAGAGTGAGACTCCGTTTCACAAACATAAAAAGAACCATTTTGATACAAGTCATTTGTACAATTATTTTAAGAGAAAGGTGAACATGAACATCAGACGAATTCTGGCAGACAAAAGTGAACAGCTACAGTCTAGTCAGCCTTTATATATTAGAGACATGACAGCTTTACAAAGGGTTTCGCTGACCTACTGAGAGATGATGTTCCCTCAGTTTCTGTGCCTTCTACCACTGGTTCACCCTCTGTATTAGCAACTGTGTCACTCTTGCTATGTCCACCTACTATGTGCTCTGAGCCCTGGGATACAGTGGTGAACAATTAGAGCCTGTCCTCACTGAGTGGATGGTGCAGTGAGCATGGGAGACAGAATACACTCGAGTATGTGAGCCCTGAGAGGGCCAGAGGCAGGCAGTGCTCTGAAGGAGAAGGCAGCGTGGGAGGGGACAGGGATGCAGGCCTGAGAGCCCTCCACATCGATCAGAGATCCGCAGGATGCGGGGGTCACGTGGGAACAGCAAACCCCCAGTGCTGAGTCCTGGGAGGCCACCTTGGGCAGCACAGTGAGAGGGAGGGGATGCTGGGGGAGTCGCAGCTTTCTAGGATGGACTGGGAGGAATCCCTTACTGTCTCCCTCTGCTGTGATCAAAGGCACCTTGGCAAATCCAGGAAACAGCTCCGCCCAGCAGCTGGCTCCAGGTGGGCTGAGTGGAATTCTGAACTACTGCCAGCGCTACCGAGACCTGGATTTTGTTCTCAGGCACATCAGTGGGGGACAAAAGGTGGGTACGCATCACCACCCCATTCCCAGTCGGGCTCAGGGTGCCACCAGGTGGATGAACCGAGCTGCGGCATCTGCCCCGTCACAGCTCCACACTTCCGCTTGAATGGCTGTTGCTGGGGTTGGGAGTGGATTGTGGGAGTAAAAGTCGTTAGAGCGCATCCAACTTGTAGAAGGGAAAGCTTAAGTGAACTGATAGCCCAGAGACCAAATGAGCCCCACAGATGCGTTTTGGAAGATTTTTTTTTTTTTGACATAGGGTCTCTGTCACCCAGGCCAGAGTATGCCACTATGTCCGGCTCATTTTTGTATTTTTTTAGAGATGGGATCTCAGTATGTTGCCCAGGCTGGTCTGGAACTCTTGATTTCAAGTGATCTGCCCACCTCAGACACCCAAAGTGCTGGGATTGTAGGAGTGAGCCACCATGCCTGGCCCCTGGAATTTTTTTTTTTTGGCGGTGGGGGGTGGGGGGGTTCTGAGACAGAGTCACTCTGTTGCCCAGGCTGGAGTGCAGCAGCATCATCTCGGCTCACTGCAACCTCCATCCCCCGGGTTCAAGTGATTCTCCTGCTTCAGTCTCCTGAGTATCTGGGACTACAGGTACGTGCCACCACGCTTGGCTCATTTTTGTTATTTTTAGTAGAGACAAGGTTTCATCATGTTGGCCAGGCTGCTTTCAAACTCCTGACTCAGGCGATCCACCTGCCTTGGCCTCCTAAAGTGCTGGGATTACAGGCATGAGCCACTGCGCCCGGCCCTTGCTAAGTCTTCATGGCTTATGTTATGTCATGAGAATTTCTGCATGCATGTTGCTCTGTGACCTCCTGTAGGAGGGGAGAGGAAGCTCATTTCTTGAAAGCCCAGGGAGAACTGGAGATGAGGAATATCATTATTGGCCATTAACTGCAGAACCTAGTTCCTTCAAAGGAGGACGTGTAGAGACCAGGTCATGGCAAAGGGCATGGAAGATCTGCTTGAATGTTTCAGGTATTTCAACAGCTCATGAAGGGAATCTCACCATCAGAGGTGTGAAAAACAGCATGGAGAAATGAGGAAATACCTAATTATTAGTAAATAGTTACTGAGTCGAAACAAATAGGGCTTTCTTGCAAATTCCTTCTGCCTCTTGTGTGTCTCTTTTAAGGTCTCTAGTAACTTATAAAAAGCTGAGGAATTCCTTTCGGGAGCCTGGCAAAAAGAAGAGTGTCCTTCTTGACACTTGGCCAAAACACCCTTAACAGAGTTTCTCTGGGCAGTGGGTGAGGGAGGGGGTGTGGAGCTGTGTTGACGAGATGACCAATGCCTGAGGTAGGGCAGAGATAAGGGCACTGTGGGGCAGGGCCAAGTCCAGATGCCGGCATTCACACCACACCTGGTTCCTCTGTCCTGCAGGTTGACATCATGGGGCGGACGGGAGCAGGGAAGTCGTCCCCGACCCTGGGGTTCTTTCGGATCAATGAGTCTGCCAAAGGAGCGATCATCATCGATGACATCAACATCGCCAAGATCACCTCATCCCCCAGGTGGGGTCTGGGTGCCACTCGGGGGGTGAGCCAGGGGTGGCATGCGCTAACAGTGATGTGTGTTTAGTTTTGGGACAAACATACTCGTGGCCCTACTTCATTTTTTTCTCTTCCTGAAACAGGGTCTTTTTTTCTTGAAGTCTGGTCTCCATACAGTCTCGGCTCACTGCAACCTCCGCCTCCCAGGCTCAAGCGATTCTCCCAACCCAGCCTCCTGAGTAGCTGGGACTACAGGTACATGCCAGCACACCCAGTTCATTTATTTTTTTATTTTTTGTGGAGATGGGGTTTCACCATGTTATCCAGGCTGCTCTTCAACTCCTGGGCTCAAATGATCGGCCCACCTTGGCCTCCCAAAGTGCTGGGATTACAAACGTGAGCCACCACACCTGGCCTTCATTATTTTTATTGATTAGGCTATGCTGCTGCTTCCCTGAATTTCCTCTTAGCATATGATTAACCATGTGGAAAATCAGAGTATCACTCCCAACTTCCTGTCCTGCAAGTGGTAGTTTTCTGAGCATCCAGAAAAATCCAAAAGGACCACGTCTCCTCTCTCTCTTGTCAGAGTCAGACTGAGAATCTCTAACCCTTCTAAGAACTAGATTAGATCACGGGGTGCATGTGCAGGCTTGTTACATGGGTATATTATGTAGTGTTTACCCTTGGGCTTCTATGGATCTCATCACCCAAATATTGAATAGAGTACCCGAGAGAGTTTCTCAGCCATTACCCTCCTCCATCTCTCCTTACTTTTGGAGGCTCCCGTTCTGTTGTTCCCATCTTTACATCCACGAATACCCACAGTTCAGCTACCACTTAAAAGTGAGAACATGCAGTATTTGGCAACTGTTTTTTTTTCTTTCAATTGAGACAGTCTCTCGCTATGTCTCCCAGAATGGAGTGAAGTGGTGCAATCTCGGCTCACTGTAATCTCTGCCTTCTGCGTTCAAGTGATTTTCTTGCCTCAGCCTCCCAAGTAGCTGGGATAACAGGTGCATGCCACCATGCCTGGCTAGTTTTGTATTTGTAGTAGAGACGGGGTTTCACCATATTACACAGGCTGGTTCTCAAACTGCTGACCTCAAGTGATCTGCCTGCCTCAGCCTCCCACACAGTGCTGGGATTACAGGGGTGAGCCAACATGCCTGACTAAAATAAGGATTTTCTAGATCAATCCCTGCAGTTGGATTCTTTAATATGTTGCCTTCTAGTGTAATCTTCCCTAAAGTTTCTTAGAAGATTCTCTTTTGGAGGTGGAGGACAGAAATCCACAGGACTTTACCATTAGGATTTACCTCTCACTTCTGGAAGGTTCTCAACCCACGTGCATATTGAAGGCTCAAGGAAGTTGTATGGAAAGGAAATGTCTTATTCTGCCACACTGAGATTTTTCACGTTTTGCCCCAATTATTAAGGAATTTATTTTGGGGAGGGGACAGTCTTGCTGCGTCACCCAGAGTGGAGTGCAGTGGCCTGATCTCGGCTCACTCCAACCTCTGCCTCCTGGGTTCAAGTGATTCTCCTGCCTCAGCCTCCCGAGGAGCTGGGACTAGAGGTGTATGCCACCACGCCCGGCTAATTTTTGTATTTTTAGTTGAGACCGGGTTTCGCCATGTTGGCCAGGCTGGTCTTCATCTCCTGACCTCAAGGCCCACCTTGACCTCCCAAAGTGCTGGGATTACAGGCATGGGCCACAGCACCTGGCCTTTTTCTCCATTATTAACATCACCAGCAACAGTGATTCCAAGGAGCTCTGAAACCCCACCTTCACCAGCCCTGGCCAGAAGTCCTTAGGTCTCACCTCTTCTCCGTCCATGTCAGCGTGACGTAGGCATCACATCCCACCACTCTCTTCTCTCTGAACAGGACCCTGTTGTTTTCGGGTTCCTTCTGCATGAAGCTGGACCTGTTCAGCCAGTACTCACATGAAGTCTGGACGTCCCTGGAGCTGGCTCACCTGAAGGACTTCGTGTCAGCCCTTCCCGATAGGCTGGACCACAAGTGCGCAGAAGGTGGAGAGAACCTCAGGTAGGCGGGGTAGACTGAGGAACACCAGATAAGGTCTGCCAGGTGCCACCTCAGTAGGGGTGTTTGAATATTCTGTCCAGATCTGTGTCAGACCTGGATTTGAGTCCCAGTTGTGCTGCAGATGTCTCATTTGTCCCTTCAGCTTTTGGAGCCTCAGTTTCTGTATCTGTAAAATGGGTCTTAATCCAGGCTCTTTGTACCATGTGGTGTAATAACCAGGATGGACAATGCATTTCCTTTTATACACACTAGCTCCATTCAGTTGACAGGGACCATCAGTTGTTAAGCTATAGAAAGGCTTCTGTACCTGTAGCCTGAAACCCCCATCTTGTTAGTATTCATAATTTTTTCTTTTTTGAGACAGAGTCTCACTCTGTCACCCAGGCTACACTGCAGTGGTGTGATCTCAGCTCACTGCAACCTCTGCCTCCCAGGTTCAAGTGATTCTCCTGCCTCATCCTCCCAAACAGCTGGGACTGCAAGCACATGTGATCACACCTGGCTACTTAGTAGAAACAGGGTTTCACCGTGTTAGCCAGGATGGTCTTGATCTCTTGATCACATGATCCACCGCCATCAGCCTCCCAAAGTGCTGGGATTACAGGCATGAGCCACCGTGCCCAGCATTACTTATTTATTTTAGGACAGGGTCTTGCTTCATTGCCCATGTCACCCGAGGCTGGAGTACACTGGCACAATCATGGCTCACTGCAGCCTTGAACTCCTAGGCTCAAGTAATATCCCCACCTCAGCCTCGCAAACAGCTGGGACTATGGCTTTGTATCACCATGCCTTGTTAATTTCCCTATTTTTAAAGAGACAGAGTCTCAATATGTTGCCCAGGCTGATCTCAAACTCCTGGCCTCCAGCGATCCACCCTCCTCCCTCTCCCAAAGTGCTTGGATTACAGGTGTGAGCCACCACACCCATCCAGAAGGGTTTTCTTGAACACCCACCATGGGTCAGGCATGCTGATAATAACCTCCATTTCACAGATAAGGAAGCTGAGGCACAGAGAAGTTCGGCCACTGGTTTAGGGTCCTGCTGCTACAAATCTGAAGTTCATGCACAGTTGCAGCCAGACAGGACTGTTGAAAACATCCATCTAATCCTATCTTGTCACTCGCCTGTCCATGGCTATCTCTTGCTCTTAGAAGAAATTCCAGCCAGGCAGGTGACTCAACACCCGTAATCCCACACTTTGGGAGGCTGAGGTGGGTGGATAACCCAAGGTCAGGAGTTTGAGGCTACCCTAGACTAACACGGTGAAATCCCATCTCTGCTAAAAATACAAAAGTCAGACCGGGCGCGGTGGCTCAAGCCTGTAATCCCAGCACTTTGGGAGGCTGAGGCGGGTGAATCACGAGGTCGAGAGATCGAGACCGTCCTGGTCAACACGGTGAAACCCCGTCTCTACTAAAAATCTAAAAAATTAGCTGGGCATGGTGGCGTGTGCCTGTAATCCCAGCTACTCAGGAGGCTGAGGCAGGAGAATTGCCTGAACCCAGGAGGCGGAGGTTGCGGTGAGCCGAGATCGCGCCATTGCACTCCAGCCTGGGTAACAAGAGCGAAACTCTGGCTCAAAAAAAAAAAAAAAAAAAAAAAATACAAAAGTCAGCCAGGCGTGGTGGCAGGTGCCTGTAATCCCAGCTGCTTGGGAGGCTGAGACAGGAGAATCGCTTGAATCTGGGAGACAGAGTTTGTGCCATTGCACTGCACGCTGGGTGACAAGAGTAAAACTCCATCTCAAAACAAAAAAACTGAAATTCCAAGATTCTTATCTCGCCCCCACTCACTGCCTGCCAGCCTCATGGGACCCCTTTCTCTGGCACCCTAAAGCACTTACCACTTTGGAGCCATTGTGCCTGCTGCTTCCTCTGCCTGGAGTACTCTTGCTCTTTGTATGATTAGTTCCTTCACACATTCTTTGGGGAAGCTCACATGTCTCTTCTCAGAGCATCCCATCCACACCACCCATGACCCTCAGTTGGTCTCCATTTCATCATATTTTCCTTAAGAGGCAGGGTCTCACTCTGTCACCCAGGCTGGATTGAAGTGGTATGATCATAGTTCACTGCACCCTTGAACTCCTGGCCTCAAGCAATCCTCCCATCACAGCCTCCCAAAGTTGGGATTACAGGCGTGAGCCACTGCGCCTGATCATTCTTATTTTCTTATTTTTTTTGAGATGGAGTCTCGCACTATCACGCAGGCTGGAGTGCAATGGCACAATCTTGGCTCACGGCAACCTTCACCTCCTGTGTTCAAACGATTCTCCCACCTCAGCCTCCTGAGTAGCTGGGATTACAGGCGTCCACCAACACGCCCAGCTAATTGTTTTGTATTTTTAGTAGAGACGGGGTTTCACTATGTTGGCCAGGCTGGTCTCAAAATGCTGACTTCGTGATGCACCCGCCTTGGCCTCCCAAAGTGCTGGGATTACAGGTGTGAGCCACCACACCCAGCCCTAATGTATCTAAAGGTTTTCTCTAAACATGACTATGAAAAAAATAAAAAATAAAAATAAAAAAAACATGACTACCTATCCATCTGATCTTACTTTGGATTCTTGTGCACCATGAACACGGTGGGATTGCTCAGTGTGTGAGAAGTGTCCTCAGGGTGGCTAGCTGGGATGGGGGTAAGCCCCAGTGATCCCCAGGGACTGAGGTGCCTCAGGATCCTTGCTACCCTGTACCCCTGTATAGAAGGCACTTAAGCTCGAAGCACCTGGTACCAGTGGCCTGTGGTTCTGCTCCCTGAGATCCCGCTCATTAAGAGGGGAGAGTAGCAGGTAGCAGGGTCCTCTGCTTCAGACAGTGAGCTCAGCTGTGTCCCGGCTGGAGGGAGCTGCAGGAAATGGGGACCGCAGGCCTCCTCCTGGCCTCTTGTCCATGTGTTCTGGCCAACAGCAAGTGATGCTCTGTGTATAGACCCAAGCCCTGCACATAACCCAGCTGCCAAAGCATAAATGACCGGGCCTGGCATGGTGGTTAACAACCAAGGGGAGGATCTTCCTTTGGAACCAGCCCTGCCCTGCTGCAGCATTGAGACAGCTCCACAAGCTGGCTCGGCCCCCTTGAAGACATCCATCATGCTGGAAGGCATTTGTTCATCCCATGAAATGGCCCTATGGGGACCTAATCATCTTGGCCAACTGGACCAATTTTGGGAATTATCCCCCAGCAGGGCGCCATGGGGGGACTTCAGCAGGTGCTTTATCCATGTGCTGGTCGCCCCCCTAACTGCCCGAGACACAGGTGGTCCCTTCAGCTACATCAGCTTCAGCCTGTGCCTTTCTGAGTGTGGTACCATGGTGGACTCACCTCTCAGGTCTAAGCTCGGCCTCCTGCCTGCAGAGGAGTCTCTAGGGTCCTTGGTGCTGGTCCCAGGTTCTGTTTCTGCAAC